AGGCTGCCAAAATGAGCAGACAAAGAAATAAGGACCAAAAGAAAGAACAGAAGAAAACTCCAGAAAAAGAACTACACAAAATAGAAATAAGCAATCTATCAGCTGCAGAGTTCAAAACACTGGTTGTTAGGATGCTCCAGGAACTCATCATTGGGTACTTCAATAGCATAAAAAAGGCCCAAGCAGAAATGAAGGTTACATTAAGTGAAATAAAGAGTAATTTACAGGAAATCAACAGTGTAGTGGATGAAGTCAAGAATAAAATCGATAATTTTGAACATTGATGGGGGACTCAAATGTTGGAAAAAATTTAGTTTCAGGTAATAGCTAATAAGCTTAGCAATCAGTGCATATAAAAAGCTACTGTCTCAGGAACTGAAGGCATGACCCACCCTGACTCCAGGAAACCATAAGCAGTTCCACCTTTGTGCCTCAGGACTGCAAGGCATCAAGATGGTATCTGAGCCACTGTGCTCCAGGGTGACATTTCCACTGTTCAGGACAGAGATAATGACCACTGCCCAGGATACAGATGAAAGAATGTGGCAGCTTTTATCTGATTAACTTTTTCCCTGAATTCCAAACCCCATACCTATACTTTTCTTATAAAAAGGGTATGTTTAAAATGGAATTTAAAATGGTCTGTTAGGATACATAACCCACTATCTTCTCAGGTCACCAACCATCTGAATAAAGCGCCCATAAAGACTCAATTCCTGCCTCTGCCAATTATTGGGTCTGGAAGGTGACAGGCAGCATTAACACTGGCTTTTCCAGTTTCAACATAGAGAAAAAAATTTTCAATCAAAATGGCAAAAAGAAAAAGATTCCAAAAACAAAAACAAGGATAGGGTGAGAAGCCTCTAGGATATCAAAAGTAGCAACACCCAAATCACAGGGGTGCCAGGAGGAGAACAAAGAAAGAAATTAAAGACTTACTTGAAAAAAATGAAAGAAAAATTCCTTAATTTGGTGAAGTCCAGGAAGCACAAAGTCCCAAACAAGATGGATGCAAAGAGGACCACACCAAGACATTATAATTAAAACGCCAAAGATTGAAGATGAAGAAGGAATCTTAAAAGCAGCAAGGGAAAAGCAGAGTTACCTACAAAGGAGTTCTCATAAGACCATCAGCTGATTTCTAAAAAGAATCTTTGTAGGCTAGAAGGGACTGGAAAGAAGTATTCAAAGTGATGAAAAGCAAAGACCCATAACCTAGATTACTCTATCCAGCAAAGCTATCAGTTAGAATTGAAGGGCAGATAAAGTGCTTCCCAGTCAAGGTAAAGCTAAAGGAGTTCATCATCACCAAGCCATTATTATACAAAATGTTAAAGGGACTTATTTAAGAAAAAGATCAAAACTATGAACATTAAAATGGCAATAAACCCACAACTATCAACAACTGATGCTAAAAAACAAACTAAGCAAACAAGCAGCACAGGAACAGAATCATGGACATGACGATCATTTGGAGGGCTATCTGCTGGGAGAGGAAAGGGGTAGAATGAGGGGAAGATACAGGGATTAAGAATAACAAACTGGTAGGAACAGAACAGACAGGGGATGTTACAAACAGTATAGGAAACAGATTAGCCAAAGAACTTATGTGTATGACCCATGGACATGAACTAAGGGGGGGGGCTGCCAAAAGAAATGGGGGGTACTGGGTAGAAGGGGGCAAAGGGGGCCAAACTGAGACATGTAATAGTATAATTAATAAACTATATTTAAAAAATTAAATACTATATAAATTCCTCTTTGGTCACTGGAAACTGTCACACTAACTAATCTAGGTTGTACCCATCTCCCCATTACCTAGAAAATAAAAAATAAAGTATACATTTCTTAGTAAACTGCTCCAAACCTAGCTTTCCTATGTTCCTATGTGCTGTCAATTTACCTTGCTATTTCCTTTACTGCACCCTTTATTCATTATCCTGCACGTACACGGTTTGGCACAAATAGCGTCCTTTTTTAATACACAAGTTTTCATTACAAAGTCACAAGCATGTAATTCTATAACAAAACAATATAACATTCCAGCACACCATTATGACATTTTAGGTGAAATGTTCAAATTGCTGTCCATCTCAAGTGAAACATCCACATACCCTATCCACCACATTCAAGCAAGCCTTACTCTGCCAGGCCCTGTGTATTGATCATTTTGTATACAGACCTCAACTCTTATGTGAATTCCAACTACTTTATTAAAATTCAAATCATTGTTACATCTTCCATGAAACATTTTCTAATTCCCCTGAATTAAGAGGGGAATCTCAATGTTTTTAAAATTTTTGCCACATTCCAGGCTTATCGCAGTCACACATTCACACGCAGATAAACCGGTGAAGGAGTGAGCAGTGAGACAGACTGCGCAGGCCCCAGCGGTGGAAAGCAGCAGAGGGGACCACCATTGTCCCTGACCCCGCCCCCACATACAGCTTCACAAACCAGCCACCTGGGTGGCCCCGCCCTGGTGAACAACTAAGGTTCCGCTCCTCATATGTAACAGGTGAGAACAGACCAAAACATGGCTCAAGAAGAACTCAAAGTCCCAGAGCCAATAAATCTAAGTGAACAAGAAATTGCCAACCTATCAGATACACAGTTCAAAACACTGGTGATCAGGATGCTCACAGAACTGGTTGATTTTAGTCACAAATTAGAGGAACATATGAAGGCTAAACTAATTGAAATGAAGGGAAATGCACAGGAAACCAATAGGGATCAAAAGGAAACTGGGACTCAAATCAAGGGAGTGGAACAGAAGGAAGAAAAAAATGACCGAACAGAAAAATATGAAGAAACAAGAATTCAAAAAAATGAGGAGAGGCTAAGGAACCTCCAGGACATCTTTAAATGCTCAAACATCTGAATTATAGGGGTACTAGAAGGGGAAGAGAAAGAACAAGTGGAAAACTTATTTGAACAAATAATAAAAGAGAACTTTCCCAACCTGGCAAAGGCAATATACTTCCAGGAAATCCAGGAAGCTCAGAGAGTCCCAAAGAAGTTGGACCCAAGAAGGAACACACCAAGGCACATCATCATTACGTCAGCCAAGATTAAAATGAAGGAGAGAATCCTAGAGGCAGCAAGAGATAAGGGGACAGTCACCTACAAAGGAGCTCCCATCAGACTGTCAGCAGATTTCTCAAAAGAGACCTTACAGGCAAGAAGGGGCTGGAAAGAAGTATTCCAAGTCATGAAATCCAAAGACCTACAACCAAGATTGCTCTATCCAGCAAAGCTTTCACTTAGAATGGAAGGACAGATAAAGTGCTTCTCAGATAAGGTCAAATTCAAGGAGTTCATCGTCACCAAGCCCTTAGTCTATGAAATGTTAAAGGGACTTATCTAAGAAAAAGAAGATAAAAAAGATGAACAGTGAAATGACAGCAAACTCACAGTTATTAAGAACCACACCTAAAACAAAAGCAAACTAAGAGGACAGCTAGATCAGGAGCAGAACCATAGAAATGAAGATCACATGGAGGGGTCGCAATGGGGGAGTAGGAGGAGGAAAAAGAGGGAGAAGGTACAGAAAATAAGTAGCATAGATGGTAGGTAGAAAATAGATAGGGGGAGGGCAAGAATAGTAGGGGAAATGTAGAATCTAAAGAACTTGAGACACGTGGTCATAAACTAAAGGGGGGAATGGTGGGGGAGGGGTGTGCAGGGTGGAGGGGAATGAAGAGGGAATAGAACAACTGTAATGGCATAATCGATGAAATATATATTAAAATTTTTTGCCACATTCTATCATATATACATTTTACACATATACCCACCTATGTAATTTGCCCTTCTAATCTGTAAACTCCTGAAGAGTCCATTATTGTTCACCAAATATTTATTCTAGCCCTCTGCAAGCTTTGGAGATGTAACGCTAAATGAGTCGTTGTGGGGTTTCTGCTCTGAGAAGACGGTACTTTAAGGCTACCACAGGGACAGTGTTATGATAGAATGTAGGCACGCCTCAAGGGATTAGGGAAGATTTCTCTGTGGAAGTGATGCTTAAGCTGAGACCTGAAGCTTCTTGAAGAATGATGGGAGTGAGGCAGGCGTAGGAGGTTCTAAGCAGCAGAAATAACGTGTGAAATGGTCCGTGGGCAAGAGCATGGAAGTTAAAGTAATTCGATATGTTGGTCAGCAAGGGGGTGAGGTGACAAGAGGTAAGCCTACAGAGAGAGAGGAGAGAGAGGCAGAGGCCGATAAGGGAATCTTGTACACCTATGGCAGAGAGGTTGCTCTTACTCTGAGAGCTCTCAGGAGCCAATGAAGGACGTTTAGCAAAAAAAAAAGAGTGATGTGATCCAATCGTTTTTAGACAAAGAACTCTGGTTGCGGTGAGCAGAAAAACTAGGTGACAGTGCGGTCAAGGCTAGAGGAAGAAATATGAGTTGGGGACAGTTATTCTTCAGGTGGAGTATAGGGTAGTGTAAACTAGGGAAGTGGCACTGGATGGCATGCAGAAAAAAGTCTGGGAAGATTTGGCAATTGATTGGTTCTCCTGGGAACCTTTTTTCTTGTTCCATCATCCTCAAATACTGCAGATACTGTTCACTAAATCTCTGTTCTTGGAATTTTTTAAAAAAACCTGCTTCCTTTTAAAAGATATCCATCATAACAACAAAGGAAGAAGCCCACATTCAAACAATGAAATACACGTCATAAAAGTTGTCAACTCATCTGACATCAATAAATGTAGAAGTCACTGGGGCTGCTTCTATACAGGAGGAACTGATTTCCCCCAGCTTCATTCAGAAACAAATGATACCCAACACTGTGTGAGGTTAAGATACACGACATCATGATCTGACCCACACAGATGCTGCGAAACGATCGCCACAGTAAGGCTGGTTAAATACGCCCATCACCTCACATAACGATTTCTTTGTGGTGAGAGCACTGAAGATGCGCTCTCCTGGCAGTTTTCAAGTACATAACACAGGGCTGTTCACCACAATCACAGTAATTACAGCCCACATTACCTCTTCATCTGCTAACCCTTCTTCTTCCATGGCCACTTCCAATTTCTTCTGCCTTAACAAAAAAATATAAATTTAAGTTTTAAATACATTCCTAAGTATTCCCATTTAAAAAATATATTTATTCAAGTTTACCACTTCAATTTGTTATGCTAAAAAATCTTTCAAGTTCACTAAAAATAACCACTAAGTATAGTTTTGTTTCTCAAACTATAAACCCAGTTCAGATTTAGCTTTTCATATTGGTCAAATAAAGTTTACTTCTAAAATTGCCTAAATGAATTGTTCACAAAGGTGACTAATATTCTAAAAAGGAAAACTCTCTTATCTAATGTTCAAACCACCAAAATCATTAATATTTATCAGGTTTATATTACACATATAAAGGTAACTATAGTGACTAAAAGTCTAAGTTTTTAAGGTGGATATCCATTTAAATCCTGATTCTAATTCTTACTAGCTAAATGAGCTTGTTTACATCCTTCACTTAAAGTCTAAGCTTAATTTCTTAATCAAGGGAAGATGGGTAACGCAATTGGGCATATTTTATTCTATTATAATTCTTTATAAATTAGAAAGTTTTATATCTATCTATATATATATATATGTAACCCATTAACTACCAAAACATTTACTTTTCAAGGTATAGCCAAGTTCAGTTATTCATTATTTTTAAATGGTGTCCCTGAAGGAAGTTAAGCTAAGCATTGTGGGCTGGGAGGATGCTGGCAGGACACACGAACTAGTAACTAGAGAATGGTTGTGGTACAAATTTTGGAACTCATTTTCAAGTGAATATTAAGTATTTTATTTCTATTGTATTGGTTTTTCCTAAGGATAAATCTGAGCGAGTTCTTCCTCATTAGTTTTGGAATATGCTACAAGAAAAACTTTCTAGTATTTATCCACATGGGAATAGGGTTGAGAATTGAAACTATCACACACATTGTTTGGTATTCTTTTTAACAGTATGTCCACAAGTAAGTTCTTTCCTAATCCACTACAGTCCCTGCTCTTTCTTTATTTAGGAAAAGTCCTAGCAGAAATGTCTAAAGCCCATTCATAAATTAGCACTTAAATGGAGAAGATAAGACCTAATAACATACTCTTCACCGCTTCCTAAGCATTTGTAATAGGTACCTTGCTGCTTACCATGCGATTTTTATCTTTTGTTTAGAGGACCATTCATCTGGAAGGGATAGCAACATACAAACAACTCTGTTCTTCCATCAAATCCCTACCCACCCCTTTCCTTGCCAAGACTGATACTTCATCAAATCATCCTTCATTCAGCAAGGAGAGAAAGTAACTTTGTAACTTTCGTTTGTTTGCACCTTAACCAACCAGGAACACCTATGACTTTCTTTTACCTTTTTAAAAAATCGTTTTCCTCCTGAAATGTGCTGACATTTTGTCCATTCATTGTTACTTTATGTGGCTTATGTATTTATCCATTTAGTTAAGCCTTACAAATTCATCATGTTTTCTTAAAGTATAAACAGTTTTTTAGCATATATATTTTAATGTCATTTTAATAATGCAGTAATTGTTTATCTTATTTTTTTGAGTACAGTTAAAAGGCAGTATTATTTTGTATTAGTTTCAGGTGCACAGCGAGGTGCTTAGACAATGGCGTACTTTACAAAGAGCAGCCTAAACTGTCGGTGCTTCCGTGGCACTGCCAAGCTGAGACTTTTTTTTTTTAATAGCAGACACTTTGATTTTTACTCTCCTTTGTTTGAAAATCTATAGGTCTTTCTTTCCTGGTTCTCTTCTATTTTGTTCACGCTCCCTTGATGATTTGATAACTTCCAATGACTTTCATTACATTGACAATAAGTGTAATGACTTATATACTTTGATTTATTTCTAACTTATTTTGTGGCTTCTATTTGTGTCCACTATTTGGTATTTCAGTTTTTCGCTTTCTCTTGCCTTTTTTGAACTGATTTGCCCTTTCATTTCACTTTTTCCTTCTACAATTTTGGAAGTTACAAACCTCATTTTTATTGTTAGTGGCTACCCTAGAAATTACATATACACTTAATTTGTCTAAGTCTGAAATTAATCTTTACCCCATGTTGTATTGCAACATGTATCTATTCTAGAGATACAAAGACATCTAAGAACACTTTAATCCCACTTCCCTCCTGACTGAAAGTCGAATGTTAGAAAATATTTCAATTCTATTTAAAAAAATGCTTAAGACATCATCATTATTATTGTTACTGTTTTTACACAGTTGATTTTTATTGGGGCTTACCCATCCATTTACATTTAAATCTGTTTGTAATCACTTCCTCTCTGTCTAAATGCAACCTTTTGGAATTGTTCCTGGTGACGAACTCTTAGTTTAACTTGCCTCTGCTCCATTCTCTTTCCTTTCTTCCTTCAGGAACTCTGATTAAAGGTGTTAGCTTTTCTCACTAGTCTCTGTGTTTAACTCTTTCACATTTTCTTACTGTCTCTCTAGGTGGACTTATTAGTTGTTTTATCTTCTGGTTCTAATTCTCTCCTCAACTATGTCTAATCTGCAGTGAGACCTGTTCAAAAGGAAGTCTGAAACCTGATTCTCCTTCAAGTCCTATTTCACTGAAGTTGCACCACTCTGTTTGCCCAGGCATGACATTTTGGAGCCAGTATTGCCTTGCTTCTCTCACATTTCGTATTTGGCTAGTTGCCACGTTTTTTTCCAATCGTTCTCACCGGTCAATTCTTTTCTGTTGTTGCTGTCACAATCCTAACTCAAGTCTCCTTTCTAAATATTTGCCTGGACTGCATCACTAGCCTTTCCTGTTTCTAATCCCTCCTCCCACAGACCATTCTATACATCACAATTGAAGTGCTCTTCTAGAGAAACACCTGCAATCATCTGATTGTTCTGTTCGAAACTCATGCAGGCCCTCCACTACCCTGAGAAGAGCTACACCAACAAAGCATCCAAGACTCCCAGGAAATGCTGACATCCAGCTTCAGCTAAGTTGAACAGTGCCTGACCTAGTACCGATGGTGATTTCTTTTGTCTCTAATACGCTTCCTCCTGCTCTTTTACTTTTTTCTTCTCCCTTCGACGTATGTCGAATAAGACTTTTGTCTTTAGAGCCCTGTTTAACGCCACTACTGTTTATGTAGCCCTCCCACTTGCCTTAGATAAAAGCAATGTCTTTTTCGCTTTTCTCTTAGTGACCCTTTTCACTCTTTCATGCAGTATATATGTGCATTACCCCCCTTACTGTATTTTCCTGAAGGCAAAACAGCATGTCTTTCATTTTTAATTCTACCTTTCCCACTTATGTGTACACAACACCATAAATGTTTTTGGATTAAAGTCAATTATTCATAATGCATTTTTCTAAAAGCAAGTAAAAAGCTATATCGTAATTTCATGGTTGGAAACGTTTTGTTTAAAACATCAACTGACATCTGAAATAAGTATATGGGTGCACAGCACAAGAACCTATGCTGCAAAAATAAAACAAAGAACTAGGTCCACTGTCCATATGAGGAAACTAACACAGGGATCCACAATATTTATATTATCATAAGCAACATGTTTACACTGCATTCAGAGTGTTACCAGCTTATTTAATTACACAGAATATTGACTAGCCTTCACTATACCTGGTTTCTCTCTCTTCATGCTGTAAAATTAGGTTGCTGTAAAAGTTCTCCAACGTGAGCTTGGCCACAGTCACTCTCTCCCGGGTATGGTTGCTCATAGGGAAGGTGGCTGTAGTCCCTGCCGTCATTGCCATAGCAACGGAAACTGAAATAACATATAAACACAAATCATTCAGTGGGGGGGAAAACTTTTTTTCCATTTTAACAAACTCTAAAAATGGTTTGATTTCTACTAAAAAAAATGATATCCCAACAGTTAAGATATCCATCATTTTACATTATAAATAATACAGTAATAGTAAAGAAAGAAAGGTGCACTGTTCCCAGAGCAACAGAAATCAATTTTTTTGTGCTGGCAAAATGAGTGGTGAACAATGAATGGAAAGGAAGCACCAGCGTCAGTCCACACTCAACACAAATACATTTACATAGAAAAGGTTGTAGTCATCAAGCATTCAAAATGAGAAAGGTTCAATCTATTGTGTTGCTGTTTTATTGATTACCAAATAAAATCCACAAGACTTTGCTAATCTTCTGTCCCCAGTAAATGCCAAGTCTTCTAGGAGTTAATGTGGTTTAGTTAAATAGCAAGAAATGGCTTCTGCTCTATAAATTTTATGAACATGAAGTGTTGCATCAGTAAGCATACAAACATCGGTCTGAACCAATTCTTGTGGGTACACGTTTCACGGGAAAATACTTTTAGGGAAAAGCCCCTTTGGATGGAGTCCATGGTTGCCCCATTTCATTCCGAATTCTGTCATCTCAGACAGCACTATAACAAGGCCCAGTGTACTTTCCCAAACCATGAGGTCCATTTCATTTTCAAATGACACTCAAATGCCTGTAGAAACCAGGCAGGAAACACAAGTGTGTGAATCAAGCCAGGTGACAATAGGGAAGTTTTGTGTATGTCTACTTAAAGCTATTCAGAGCTACCTTTGAAAAACCCCTGGGACAGCCACACAAAGTGCTGGTTTGAAGAAGATAAACTGGACAATCAGACAAGATAAGGAATGCTAGAATGCTTCTGCATGTTAGAGAGATCTTTGCTTGTCTGGATGGGATCACAATAGACCAACTTAGAGAAGATCCAAACTGCCAAGAGTGAGCATCCAACATTGCATTCTTAGCTGAAAAGTACTCCCCCAAACCTGCCACCTACTCCCCAACACCTGCCTCTCCTTAATTAGACAAAGCTACAGACCCCCGTATAAGGGCCTGAACTGGATTAGAATCCAGGGATAATGGAGTGAACACAAAGGGCTTTCCCGTGCTTCAATGTCAAGCACAGATTGAAAGTAAACAATCTCCTGTCATGGAAACTGTCATGTTCCCCTGTCATGTTACTGAGTTTATGCCTCAATGTACTGGAGGAGCCTCAAATCCTTCTGTCTAAAACACTACCACTTTAGCATCATAAACTTGTTCCTCTGCTGACTACTCTTAAGTTTTTTTGTAACAAGAAGCTGATCACATTACTTGTTTAAATTAAAACCACTGATACCTCCTCCCTTGCCTATAGCAAATCAGATTAGCTTAGTATGATAAAGACAACTCAGGTACACTAAATGCTAGTATGTATCAGGAATTTTATGATCCTTTTTCACTGCATTTCCCTTTTTTGTCCTCAGGATTAAGACAGTGGCACTTCTTATGCATGGCTGCACTTCATCCTCACAAGGGCACTCTAGAGGAAGGGGTGAAGCTTAGAAAGGTCACAGAGCTAGTGGGGGGTGGACTCAGGACTCCAGGTGCCATCTCCAACTTGCGTTCCAGCCTTCTCTGCTGCCCTTCCTCGCCACTCATTCTTTTCCCAACAACATACCTGGTTCTTTCATGCCTCCAAGCCCTCACAAAACCAATCCCCAAATCCGTTACATCCTGAATTCTCTTAGCAGGAGTCCTGCTGATGCTTTGAGGCACAGTCTCACTGGGAAGACTTCTCTAACATCCCCGACCAGGAGAGACTTCATATTTGGCATGCTCTCACGTGTGTTCTCTAGCATTTGTACCAATGATGCCAGGTGCTGGTGCTTGTCACTCCGTTTCTCTATCCCACTAAACCACAACACCTCTGGGCAAGAACTTCTCCTGATTCATTCTGGACTATTTATCACAGTAGCACCGTATCTGACACACAGTCGGCATCAATGAATGAATAACTCAACCTGTCAAATGTGGGGTGGGAAAGAGTTGAAAGAATCAGCTAACAATCATAAGCAACCGTGGAAGAAGAAATTATAGAACCTAAGAGCCGAAAATTTAGAAATCTAATCCAGACCCTGCTGCTGAGTGATCATATGGTCTTATTCAAATCACTGGAACACTCTGGATGCGTCACTTCCCCCCAGACAGGCATTATATTTGCTTCGCCTCATTCACAGGAATAGTCTCAGGGCATCTGAGACCAATACACAGCAAACCTACAATGGCTTATACAAATGTAAGGCATAATTTTAGACACTTAGTTTAATTTTTTAATGTGCTAAATGCTTTAATAATAATGAGTATTATTTTTAAAAACCATAAATAATAAAAAGAAATGAAACTCAAAAATTATCATGGCCAAATGATTTCTAAGCATTAAGATGTTCTTCTTGGAATGCTATCTAAGGCAGTGCTATTAAACCATTTTAGGAAATCTCAGAATCACTGGGTTCATGTTCTGTGTTTCAGGATCAGATGCAGAAAAATCAAAGAAGGAAACAAGAACAGGGGTGGTGTTTGGCAGGCATCAAAAATCGTGTTCGTTAAGTGGGACCCGGGGGTTGGGGAGCAGGGAATGGAAGTTGAGGAATTCAAATAATGTGGAAATAAGTTGTGCAAATAAGTTGAGGAAATTCAAAATATACAAAATTAAGTAAGTTTCTTATTGAAAGACTTCCCAGCATCTTTAATATGTTAATATATATCCCAAGTCCTCAAAAAGGTGATAAGGTATACATTTTGCAGTAGTATTATGGACCCTTCTTTAGCATATAAAATTTGAGTTCACAGACAGTTCTCTTCAAACTCTAGTTTAAAAGTGCCTGTGCTTTTTAGGGAGGGGGGCATAAAAGCTCCAACAAAGAGCAACACCTAGGGATTTAAAGTCCTTTCTCGTTGTCCGGATCTGCAGGTGACAGGGAATGTTCAAATTGGCTGGCCAGTTCTTAGGGGGAAAACAGGTCAAGGCCCAGCTGTAGTTATCAGAGGTCTGTATTTTCCTTTCCAAAAGTTTGTGGTGAAAAAACAAACAAAACACTTTATAATGACTCTAGAAAAAAAGCACAAAGAAATAGCACGTAAGTAAATATTTCAGCAGTCAAAAAGAAAGATGAGCATGAATTCGGGGTGTGGCTGTGGAAGGCAGCTGACGGGCTGCCCAGGGGCCCCTCACAACAGGCTGCCCTGGACGGCAGACCAGGGGGCGAGGTCTGGTCTGCAGTTGGCAGCGTCTCAGGGCAGTCAAATTCTGGAAGCTGCTTTGTTCTCAGTTCACAAGAGAAATGGCAGCTTACTGATTTACACAATAAGAAACTGAGCAACAAGGAACAGATCCTTGCATCTTCTTGCACATGCCTTCTGTCCTTGTACGCAAGCTAGATGTAAAGCCGTGAGGGTCAGATTGCTCGGCAAGCCTAGCATCAGGACGAAGAAAACTGTTATTCAATTTAAACATTTAATGGCATCAGGAAAAGGTATACTGGAAGGGAGGAAGGAAGAATGGAAGAGAGGAAGAAAGGAAGGGAGGGAGGGAGAGAAGGAGGAAAGACTAACTGCTATCTAGCCCAGGGCAATTCTGCCCGCTCTAAAGTGGCTGGAGATGGCCAGTTCTAAGCTCTGCTGCTGGCTGGGCTTTCCCTGAATGAAACTGCCCTGGGGAGCTGGAGGAGGGCAGAAATATTACAGAGCAAAACTTCTGGGGAAATTTTTATGAAACACAAAAAATATTAGTGAATTTGAAAACAATTCCAAACAACTAGGAATTATTTGCAGTAACAATACAGGAATAAATATGAAGTTGTTTTAGATAAGGATTTGTGAACCTGAGGTCTTTATAAGAGAGGGGTAAACAGAAGATCAGGTTTCTGCCAACAGAACAGGAAGTAAGGCGTTTAACTCCCAAACCCAGAAGTATACATTAAGTAAAGAAAAACAGCTTCCAGACACTTTATGATTTAGTCATCAGCACTATATTCTTTCATTTGAATTACATATACGTGCAAGTGTGTATATGCCTTGTTCAAAAACCTAATCAGAAAATCCTGTCTACTCATTTTTGTAATGAGAGTATTATAGCATCTGACATAAAGCACACAACGTACCAAGCACACAGTAGGCATTCTATAAATAAATGATGGTGAGCAATGAACTTAAACTCAATGGACTTTCAATAATATATGTTTCACACACAGTAATTTCCTTTGGGTTACAGAATCATTTAGTGTTACATTAACCTTCAGAAACAAATCATACTTGAGTAATACAATTGCAGAGAAGGCCAAAAATTCTACCTTTAGTCTTGACTAAATAGTATCTCTTAGGGATTAGCTTTAAAATTAAAATAATATATTTCCTTCTAACCAGGCACAAATAGGTTTTTAAAATTCAAATTAAACAAAACTAAGACCAGCAGTGACCAAATTATTACAAAGAATGAGCTAGATGACTGGCACTTATTATATTGCAAATTTATTCCTCTAATGGATTTAACACTGTTCTTTGTCTTTTACTAAAGCCCTTTCTTTAGCCAGAAAAAGAACAGGATACAATTTGCAAGTCTAGAATTCCTGGACTGATAAAAACAACCCTAGGTGCCCTTGAATTTCCTTTTCACATGTTTTCTCCAGGCTCCCGATTCATTAATGGGGACACTACCAATAGTTAAGTCCAACATTCTTTCGCTTATCGAGCCTGGGGAAAGGAGATAACAAATTTGGCACTCGGGACACCTATAAATAGATGTGGTGTCTCCAACCACTTACCATCAAACTTTTAAAGCAGGAAAACAGAACTGCTTTACCTGACAGGTGAAACACACTATTTAATGGGTGGTTTCACCTCAGGTTTCACATACTAAATTTCAGAGGAAAGAGGATCTTCAAGGCTACTGTGTTACCTCAGATGATGAAAATTTTCCTAATTCATCATTAGGTGCAA